TTATCTGGGCGAGCCGCCGAAGCGTACCGGGCAGTACCAGACGAGGATAGTAGAGACTACGCTAAAGTAAAACGGGCCATCCTAGCCCGGTATGCCATCACCTCAGAGGCATACCGAAAGAAATTTCGGGACATTAAAAAACCCAGTAAGGACACCCATGTGGAGTGGGCGCACCAGCTACAACGAGCTGCCAAAGGGTGGCTGGAGGCCGCCCAAGTTGATACATTGGAGGGTCTGTTCCAGCTAATGGTACTGGAACAATTCTTCAATGGCGTCCCGACCTACCTACAAAACTGGATCCGGGACAGGAAGCCACACACCCTGCAGGAAGCGGCTAATATGGCAGACGATTTCCAGGACAATCGGAGAGATCAACCTATACCAACCCGAGCCACCATTCCCCCTACAACGGCCAGCCCTCCAGGGGGCCCCGCAACGTACCAGCGACCAGGGGTAAATCAGAATTCCTACCCCCCCAGATATTCAGCACGTCCACCAATCCGGTGCCATACCTGCAACCAACAGGGGCACATCCAGAGAGACTGCCCACGGAACCGGCCTCGACCCAGCTGGAATAACGCCGCCCCGAGCAACCGTGCCGCAGTCCACTGTCTACAGGCCGAATCCGACCAAAACCTGGAGTTGGGGACGACCCGGGAGGAACCTCTCGGTACTCTACACGAGGTGAACCCTGTCCAGGCCGCCTCCGATAACCGCCAAGGGCACCGCCAGGAAGTACACATGGAAGGGAGGAAAGTACAAGGACTTCGTGACTCGGGAGCCACCCTAACTCTAGTACGCAGTCATCTGGTACCAAAGCCCAAGCTCACGGGGGACTGTGTGGCTGTGCGGGTGGCTGGGGGAGCCATTTACAAAGTACCCACGGCCAAGGTGCACTTGAATTGGGGAGCGGGGCACGGGAATGTATATGTGGGGATGATGCAAGACTTGCCAGCGGATGTGATTTTGGGCAACGATTTGGGGGAGCTGACTTCGGCTTTTGTTCCCCAGCCCACCGTACAAGAAGCATACCCGGTTGTGACCCGGCAACAGGCCCGCACCACTGCACCATTCGAACACTCTGAGGCTCAGGTAAGCAATGACCCTCCCCTACCTCCTACCCTGCCCTGGGCCAATTCCCTAGAGTTCGGGGCCGAAGTAGCCCTAGATCCTTCGTTACAAGTGTACAAAGACCGCATGGATAAAAATCAAGCTGGGTTAGAGGGGGAAAGATATATCTGGGACAAGGGGCTACTATATCGGCACGCAGAGAAGGTAGTGTCCGGGTCAATACCATTGCCCATTAAACAGCTAATAGTGCCTCGAAAATATAGGTTAGAGCTGTTACGCATAGCCCATGATATCCCCCTGTCTGGACACCTAGGCATCAGTCGGACCAAGCACAGGCTGACCCAAAATTTCTTTTGGCCAGGTATTTCCCAGGATATTAAGCGGTATTGTCAGACCTGCGATACCTGCCAAAGGGTAGGCAAGAGGGGGGACAGATACAAAGCCCGACTACGGTCTCTGCCCATCATTGAAGAACCATTCAGTAGGGTGGCAGTAGACATTATAGGTCCCCTCGCAAAACCCAGCCCCTCCGGCAAGAAGTATGTCCTAACTGTGGTGGACTACGCCACCCGGTACCCCGAGGCAGTGGCCCTAACGAACGTACACGCAGAAACGGTAGCCGAGGCCCTGATGAGGATATTCACCCGGGTAGGATTTCCCCGGGAGATTATCTCCGATAGAGGCACCCAGTTTACTGCTGAAGTGACCCATCAGCTCTGGAAAATATGTGGGATACAACAAATCCTCAACTCCCCATATCACCCCCAGTCCAATGGGCTCTGTGAACGATTTAACGGAACCCTGAAACAAATGATCCGCACGTTCATGGACACCCAAAAGGACTGGGAGCGGTTCTTACCCCACCTACTGTTCGCGTATCGAGAAGTGCCACAAGAATCCACCGGATTCTCTCCGTTCGAATTATTATTCGGGAGGAGAGTGAGGGGACCCCTGGACTTGATACGGGAACACTGGGAGGGAGACGAAACCGTTAATGGCACCCCTATCTTACCATATGTGCTCGAGTTCCGGGAACGCCTGGAGAGGCTAACCCAGACCGTCCGAGACAATCTCCAGGTAGCGCAACAACGACAGCGCCGATGGTATGATAAGGGAGCCAGGGACCGCAGCTTTCAGGTGGGGCAGAAAGTCTTAATCCTGCGACCCGTCCACAAAGATAAGCTGCAGGCTTCCTGGCAGGGCCCATACAAGGTGGTGGAACAGATCTGTGACACCACCTATGTGATCGGCCCGGTTACCGGCGTGGGAGGCAAACGCATGCTCCATGTGAACATGCTCAAGCCATACCACGAACGGACGGAGGAAGTCACCGCAATCTGTGCCCCTGCCACGGAAGATTTTGATAACCTACCCCTACCCGATCTCCTAGACCAAGAGGGCCAGAGCGGAGATCTGGGAGAGGTACAGTTAGGAGAAAGATTAAATACCCAAGAACGGGCCCAGGTACAAAGGTTGCTTCAGGAAAAGAAGGCCACGTTTTCCAATTTACCCGGCTATACCCCGTTGGCTACCCATAAGGTAGAAACGTTAGATTCGACCCCCTTGCGCCAACCCCCCTACCGCACTCCAGAAGCAGTCAAGGAGAATATGCGCAAGGAAATTGAGGAGATGATTCAGCTAGGAGTAATAGAGCACTCGGACAGCCCCTGGGCCTCCCCGGTAGTACTGGTGCCGAAACGGGACGGGACGACCCGTTTCTGCGTAGACTACCGACGGCTCAACGATAAAACGACCTCTGACGCATATCCCATGCCCCGAATAGACGAACTCCTCGATAAGATGGCCAGGGGTCAATACCTAACCACTATAGACTTGTGCAAAGGGTACTGGCAGATTCCCTTAGCGGACGACGCCATCCCTAAGTCGGCTTTTGTCACCCCGTTTGGCCTGTATCAGTTTAAGGTCATGCCATTCGGGATGAAAAACGCTCCAGCTACCTTCCAGAGAATGGTGGACAGACTGTTAGATGGGTTCCAGGAGTATGCCTGCGCGTATCTAGATGATATCGCCATATTCAGCCACTCCTGGCACGAACATCTGGTTCACATAGGAGCCATCCTAGACCGAATCCGAGAGGCCGGACTGACCCTAAAACCCAGCAAATGCCATATCGGTATGGCGGAAGTCCAGTATCTGGGACACCGGGTAGGGAGTGGGCAACAGAAACCCGAACCTGCTAAAATAGAGGCAGTCGCCCAATGGCCTACCCCTCGCACCAAGACCCAAGTGCTCGCCTTTTTAGGGACCGCCGGGTACTACCGGAAGTTTGTGGCCAACTATAGCGCCCTCGCCAAACCCCTCACAGACCTGACCCGCAAGAACCTCCCTAAATTAGTAGTCTGGGCCCCAGAGTGTGAGCAGGCGTTCCAACAGCTCAAGACGGCGCTGGTTAATTCTCCTGTACTTTCTGCTCCTGATCCAACTAAACGCTTTCTCGTCCACACAGACGCTTCTATGTTTGGATTGGGAGCAGTACTGAGCCAAGTTGGACCCGATGGCGGCGAGCACCCCGTAGCTTACCTAAGCCGAAAACTTTTACCCAGGGAAGTAAGCTACGCCGCCATTGAAAAAGAGTGCCTGGCTGTGGTGTGGGCCCTCAAGAAGTTGCAACCCTACTTATACGGGCAACCCTTCACTTTACTCACGGATCACAACCCGTTGGTGTGGCTGAACAGGGTGTCCGGAGACAATGCCAGGCTGCTGCGCTGGAGTTTGGCGCTGCAGCCTTTTGACTTTACTATCCACTACCGCCCTGGGAAGCAGAATGGCAACGCCGACGGGTTGTCTAGACAAACAGACTTGGAGCCGTGATTCGTGAGTACTCCTCCGGACATCCCCAAGCCGATCCGTTGGGATCAGACTGTGTATGCCGGCTTGGTTCTGGGGGAGCATTGTGGCAAACCTAGCCACTCGGACTATAACTGGACACTGTGCCTTTAAGGGTTGCCTATAGGTCTGGAGAGAGATGCATTGTACCTGTATGTGCCTGCTTCATGTATTCCCTGCATTGCCTGTACCTATCTGTTCCGCCGAATGCAAATGGCGGTTTGTATGGGGATTCCCGTTCGTTTCGCGAACGGCACTTTGGAAGGCCGTTCGTGAAACGAATGCGATACCCCCTAATAGCCCACACACTTAGAGGCGTGTGGCGCTAGTTAACCGATTGCAACATTGTTGCAATCGGTTATTAGAGGCTCTCCTGGGTGGCCGTCGTTCGACTACCGACCATGCGGCGGGCGGCCATCTTGGATCCCTGGTTCGTCAGCGGGTCCGTGTCGTCGAACGCATAGCATTCCCAACAGTCATTCGACGGCACGAACACCGTTAAGCCTCCAGGACGTTCGGGAGTTTCAGGACCAGGTTCATTAAAGACAATCGGTTCTTTTCATGTGTTTTTAAAGAAAGGTGTTTTCTGTGCGGCGTTCGGTTATTTTAGCTGGGATCTGAGCGGCAATCTCACGAATGATGCGCCCAGACCCCAGCTATCTACCGAACGTCCATTCGTGTAAATCCACCGTATATTGTACCAACGGTGGATTTTTGTGTGAATTGCCGGTTCTGCTGCACGAGGGGATAATCCCCTTAACGGTGCATTCTGGGAGGGTGATCCCTCTCGTGCAGCGGTGCCTGATGGGAGAAATATGTAGTACAGTAAGTCCCCCATGTAGTCCCCTCCTGTACAACCCCTGTAATGTCTGTTTGGAAACCCCTTGCATGGGGAATTGCATAAATACTGTGACCTGTGATTAAAACCTCAGTTGACTCCCAGCCTATGTGTCGTCTAGTTCTTGGGAAGGAAGGGTTACTACAGTGCTGTTTGGATTATTATATGCTGATTCCCTGGATTATCCTTTGTTGTTCCTGTTACCCAGCGGAGATATCGTGGATCATACTGCCTCTCCGCTACATATGTACTAAAGGTTGGTATATACACATCATACAAAAACAAAAAAGGAACTGCTTTCAAATCACATAAACAGGTTGGGTGATTAACCAGACCCAGCACTAGCCCAGAAGATACCAAATGGAAGAGAGATGGTCTAGGCCAGGGGCGCTCAAGAGGTAGATCCCCAGACGTTCCCATGATGCTTTGCATGCCTTTAAAATGACAAAGCATCATGGAAGCTGTAGTTTTAAAACATCTGGGGATCTACCTTTTGGGCACCCCTGGTCTAAGCTCCCCCATGCAGGAACGGCAGTTCATTGGAACACAGTGAGCTTGACAAAGACCCCTGTGTGGGTCGAAACGTTGCAATGTTCATTTTCTTCCAATAACCTGCCTTTACAGCATTGGAGTGCCTGGCCCAACCCTCTTCTGTTTGGCATCTACAGGTTGGTATAGACATAGCTTGGGGATATCCAATAGCGCAGTGAGATTGGGGGGAACAGAGATACATCTGGATTTAATTATTGATCAATTGACAGATTGGAGTTCCAGAGTTAGTTAGGGCTAACATACTGCGATGGGAGAAGTTTACGGAGTCTAAGCAGAGGGAAGGTGATAGAGAGGCCCTTACTGTGCTGTTAGTGGATGTATTCCCTCCTCTGAGGAGCTGATATAGACCATCACCATTTACCAGGACTGAATACAAACAGCTAATAAACATCTCACATGAAATCATTTATTGCTGCATAGGAGACAAAGCACAGTTTGCTGGAGTCTGTCAGCAAGGGGTTAACAGAGTATTCTCCATTCACAGTACTGAGGAGCAGGAATCCCTCCTGTACCTCACCAGAGATGATAGAAAAAAAACTAATACTTGACTTTTTGTTAGCAGTGCCAAGTCTATCCTACTCACAGCAGCAATGGCACCGCTCCACAGCAAGCTGCAACACCCATCATGCACAGGCCAAACAGCACAGACTATCTCATGATAGACTGGCTGACGCCACACAGTTAAACACTCCTATTATCCCCAGTATATTAGATCCAGACCAGGGTCTGTCAAACCTTAAATCCCATGACAAACAACCAGCCACAGCACAAGGGAAAATCTGAGAGCTGTAATTAAGGTGCCAGAGATACTACTGCAATGATGATCCACATAGGCTTTCACTCAGTGACTGGTTTCTTTTCTTGTGACTTCGCAGAGTGTGCGCAGGTTTGGTGACCTCGCAGAATGCACATAGACCCAATTTCGCAGAGTGCGTGCAGACCTAGGGACCTCGCAGAGTGCATGCAGACCTGGCGACCTTGTGCAGACCTAGGGACCTCGCAGAGTGCATGCAGACCTAGGGACCTTGCAGAGTGCGTGCAATAAATTCCCTATGAACATTTATTTACAATTCCTTTTGCTTTTAACTATTAAGTTTCTTGAACATTTTTCTTTTTTTAACAAGAATAAGGCACATTTAGCTCTCCCACAGCGCTGTTCTGGAAATCCATCTTTTGCCACGGAAGAAAGTTTACAATTAACAATTTAGCAGCCAAGACATGGTGCAGTTTCCATTTTAGATTCACAGGTCTGTCCATGGCTTCCTAATGAAACTGGTTAACAAACTGTCCGGTGCTAATGACAGAAGAATGATGGTAGCGACCGCGGGACGCAAAATCTGCGTTCTCTTCTGTCAGCTGTGTGGTCTCCATACCAACAGACGCAAAGGAAGGTGTTACTACAATGCGCTCCCCTGGGGAAGACTTCTTCCTGTGGAGAAAGACATAGAATTGTTATTGATTAACAGTTATAATAGGCCCCCTTAAAGGACTACACAACAAATGCAGCAGAGGAATTGTACATTCCATAACAAAAACAGAGAATCCACCATTGCACAATCTGGGTGATGACACGGCTTAACATACACTGCATACAATCAATCGAACACACTGAAGGCGGCAGGAAAGGGTTACATTCAAATGAATCCTCTCATCGACTGACTGACTGACATGCGAGTCATGATTACTGTGTGTGTGTGTTTACATATATCTTTGTGTGCATATATCATTTTTTTTGTCATCAATGTTTTTATGCTAAAGTAAGAGTATGAGTGGCTGGACAGTGTGGTGTAGTGGTTATGGTGCCTGTGTTATCCCTTTAAAGATGGCTACAGATAGCGAAGTTTATGGAGATCCCAAGTCTTCCCTGAGACATTTTAATTTGCGGCAAATCATAAGGGATTTATAGTAAAAGCTCACAATTCAGCTCTCCTTTAACACACGGGCGGGAAGGAGAGGGGGGTCAACATAAACGCTTCACAATACTGGGGTTACTTTGGATTTAATCATATAACGTACAGAGGAAAACGCACCTGAATACCGTGACGGCCATTAATTGAATCCAAGAGAATAAACTGAAGCTTGCTGCTGCCCCTAAATATAAAAATAAATGAATATTTAAACAAGCGATAAATTGGGAAACCCTGAGACCATTCTGATACAAGAAGATCTGTCTGTAACTAGTGCTGAGAGGGAATGCTGCAAGGGATGATGCATTGGAGGTGCTGAGAGGGAATGCTGCAAGGGATGATGCATTGGAGGTGCTGAGAGGGAACGCTGCAAGGGATGACGCATTGGAGGTGCTGAGAGGGAATGCGGCAAGGGATGATGCATTGGAGGTGCTGAGGGGGAACGCTGCAAGAGATGATGCATTGGAGGTGCTAAGGGGGAACGCTGCAAGGGATGATGCATTGGAGGTGCTGAGAGGGAACGCTGCAAGGGATGGCGCATGGAGGTGCTGAGAGGGAATGCGGCAAGGGATGATGCATTGGAGGTGCTGAGGGGGAATGCTGCAAGAGATGATGCATTGGAGGTGCTGAGGGGGAACGCTGCAAGGGATAATGCATTGGAGGTGCTGAGAGGGAATGCTGCAAGGGATGATGCATTGGAGGTGCTGAGGGAGAACGCTGCAAGGGATGATGCATTGGAGGTGCTGAGAGGCAATGCTGCAAGGGATGATGCATTGGAGGTGCTGAGAGGGAACGCTGCAAGGGATGATGCATTGGAGGTGCTGAGAGGGGACAACAAAGAAATGAAACCTGTTGGGTGTATATGGGATAATGGTAAAATAGCTAACATAGTAGTATAAGGGCAAAATTATCTCATTTATATTTTATATTTATTTTATATTTATTTATATTTATCTCCAGTAATACGTGAATTAGGGACCGAATTACTCAGTTATTCAAGAATAAAATATCTTTATTACTACAGCGGAAATCAGAACATAGGGGCCTAGTATAATGATATATGCCAATGTGCACCTACCTGGATTAAGCCCAGGGCTCACCCGCCCAATGTAGAAATATAAGAGAACAGCCACCCCGATATTGACCAGAGCGTAGATCCACTGGATTACAAACATGATAACAACAGAAAAGATCGCCTGCAACCAGGAGAGGATTCGTTATGTGCTTAGGGGGAACAGTATTTACGCAATGTGTTAGATTGCTCACCACCACAATGCAATACTACGAACCCCGCCCTAGGGCAATACTACAACTCCCCCCTCCCCCACCGTCCCCAGGGCAATACTACAACACCCCCTCAAGTCTACACCCCCCACAGGCAATACCACAACCCCCACCACGGGCAATACTGAAGCCCCCACCACCATCCCCAGGGCATTACTACAACCCCCCACCACTCTCCCCAGGGCAATACTACAAACCCCTCCCCCCAGCACCCACCCCAGGGCAATACTACAAACCCCTCACCCTCCCCAGGGCAATAGTACTGACCCCTCCCTAGGGTAATACTACTAAACCTTCCCCCCCTACCTTGGTATTATTACTTGCCCCTCCCAGAAGGAACTACCATCAACCAGAGTTACATACAGCTAGCCTAGATGGAGAGCATTACTGTAGCGTAGGGGAGGGGGTGGTAGGAAAGCAAGGGTGGGAGATACTCACCCCTAGGAAGGAGACCCAGTGATTACAGAACTTTGAGTAAAAGGAAGTGGATAAACTCTGAATCTCAAACTCCGGGACTTTGCTTCGAATGTTTAAATCTGTATAAAAAAAAAAATTTATAATAAATTTACATCCTCCAAAGCCTAGAGATTACATCCAGGCTACCAGCCCACACACTTGGCATTAATGTGGTTATAAATTATTTCATTCTAATAAGACATCAATCCTCACTACACCCACTGCGCTGTGCATGGCCCCCCTGTATCAGGAGCACAGAGTCGCAACACTATCCATTTATATCGGACAGTCACCTGGAGGCGATTCCAACCGATGGGGCCCAATAAATGCAGCAAAGATCTAGAAACTTCGAGACTCGTCTCAAAGCAAAGTGTTTGCAATAAATTACCTTCTTTACCATCTGATTGCTGGATCTCTGTGTACATCTCTTCTCCTTCCACCATTCTCCGTGTGGCGTCTCCCTCGGCTTCTTCCATGTTAGATGGACTCCTTTCATCTTGGTCCATGGAGGGAACAATATTTTGAAATTTCTCTTCAGTTGGTTCTGGGATCAGTTCACTCTCCTCCAGCTCCGAAATGTGTGGCAAATCTAACTGGAAGCTGTCCACCAAAGACTGCTTGGCAGGAATCTTAGCTTTACGAAATGTCATCTTCATTCCGGAGTTTTGCGTTTTTGTGCTCTCAGCTGGCTCCACTTGACCCACTTTGAAGATCTGATCCATATCCTTTGTGAATTCAAGCAGAGTGCCGTTCGCTCCGTAGCTGGACGGTTTATCAAGAATCAAGGGACAAGAGGCGCTTAGTGCTTTGGTGTTGACTCTCATGGTCTTTTTGCCATTATATTGTAAATTGTAACTCATCGTCACAGAGAAGTAGGAATAGTCCACGGCACTGTACGTCAGCATGAAGTTAATGGTTACTATTGGTGCAAGGACATTCACCTGGCCAATAAAGACAAATGCCATGGTGAGAACACTTGTCAAAATAATTGCTGCTACCGGCGTTTTATTTGGTCCTTTCTGAGAGGGAGAGAAAAAAAAAAAAGTAAAGACGACCATGTAGATAATTAATCCATTTTCTCACATAACATGTTTACAATGATTTATAGTACGGATTCAAATAACATTCAATTCTTTGTTAATTAGTGCAGACTGATAATTAGAGCCGAACCCTGCAGGTTGCTGATGGCTTAATGAAGCCTTGAACTCGCATTGCTTTTGGTGAGGATTCACCGGTGAAAACTGCACCAATATATGTCAGCAATACTGTCCTAAAAGGTGATAATGCCAACTCCTGCCCTATGGCTCAAGCACACAGTATCACGAACATGGTACATCAGATACCGCAGACACAAGCAGCGAGATCTAACGCTTCCCTGAGCTCCCTAAAGCCCAATATAATGTTAACAGTAGTCAGTGTCTGAATTTTGGGGACTGGGACAGGGTTATTCCATTGTTATCCCCCCCCCCCCATGCTATGTAATAAGGCCAAAGGGGAAATTCTCCCCAGCAGCTTATCTGCCCAGAGAATTCATGTCATAATCAGCTGTAATCAGCTGAGTTTGTTTCACGCTATATTTATAACGAGGAAGCAGCAGCCAAGGCCGTAATCCTGATAATCAGCAGAATTAATTATAGGACTGAACAAGGATTTATTTCTCCATTAACTCTCTGCTTCCTGGTGGCCTGGAGCGTCTGATCCAAAGACACTTCAATAAATAGATTTCATTACCACCAAAACATTGGCTGCCCAATCTCCTCTCCATAGGCTGTATATTATAAACATCCTAAATGGCACAAGCCACCTCTCTATGGTCTGCCCATCATAAATGTCACCCAGCCCCCTCACTATGGTCTGCTCATCCTAAATGGCACACAGTCCCTTCTATGGTCTGCCCATCCTAAATGGCACACAGCCCCCTCTCTATGGTCTGCCCCCCTAAATGGCACACAGCCCCCTCTCTATGGTCTGCCCACCCTAAATGGCACACAGCCCCCTCTATATGGTCTGCCCACCCTGAATGGCACACAGCCACCTCTATATGGTCTGCCCATCCTAAATGTCACCCAGAAACCGCTCTATGGTCTGCCCACCCTAAATGGCACACAGCCACTTCTCTATGGTCTGCCCGTCCTAAATGTCACCCAGACCCCTCTCTATGGTCTGCCCACCCTAAATGGCACACAGCCCCCTCTCTATGGTTTGCCCACCTTAAATGGCACACAGCCACCTCTTTATGGTCTGCCCATCCTAAATGTCACTCAGCCCCCTCTATATGGTCTGCCCACCCTAAATCACACACAGCCCCCTCTCTATGGTTTGCCCATCTTAATGTCACCCAGACCCCTCTCTATGGTCTGTCCATCCTAAATGGCACACAGCCCCCTCTTTATGGTCTGCCCACCCTAAATGGCACATAGCCCCCTCTCTATGGTCTGCCCACCCTAAATGGCACACAGCCCCCGCTCTATGGTCTGCCCAGCCCCCTCTATATGGTCTGCCTACCCTAAATGACACACAGCCCCCTCTCTATGGTTTGCCCATCCTAAATGTCACCCAGACCCCTCTCTATGGTCTGTCCATCCTAAATGGCACACAGCCCCCTCTCTATGGTCTGCCCACCCTAAATGGCACACAGCCCCCCCCCTATGGTCTGCCCACCCTAAATGGTACACAGCCACCTCTCTATGGTCTGCCCACACTAAATGGCACACAGCCCCCGCTCTATGGTCTGCCCACTCTAAATGGCACACAGCCACCTCTCTATGGTCTGCCCGTCCTAAATGTCACCCAGACCCCTCTCTATGGTCTGTCCATCCTAAATGGCACACAGCCCCCTCTCTATGGTCTGTCAAATACAGGCCTTTGCTACAACCCCCTTTTATGGTCTTTACCTAAATAGCTTTGAAACCCTCTCTATAGTGCCCCGTCCTAAATATCACCCAGACCCTCTCTATGGATCTGCCCACACACCCCTAGTAGCACACCGCCCCCCTCTCTATGGTCTGCCCTAAATGGCACACAGCCACCTCTTTTCATAAGTCTGCTGCCATCTAAATGTCACCCAGCCCCTCTATATGGTCTGCACCACCTAAATGACACACAACCCCCTCTCTATGGTTTGCCCATCCTAAATGTCACCCAGACCCTCTCTATGGTCTGTCCATCCTAAAATGGCACACAGCCCCTCTCTATGGTCTGTCCATCCTAAATGGCACACAGCCCCTCTTTATGGTCTACCCACTAGTATTTTGGCTCCCTCTATGAATTCTGCTGCCACCCCTAAATGGCACAGCCCCCTCTATGGTCTGCCATCCTAAATGGCACACAGCCACACCTCTCTATGGTCTGCCCACCTAAATGGCACACAGCCCCTCTCTATGGTCTGCCCACCTAAGTAACACAGCCCCCTCTCTATAGTCTGACCACCCAATTGTCCACACAGCCCCCTCACTATGGGTCTGCCCGCAATAAAGTATCACTAGCCTCCTCTCTATTGTCTGCCCACCCAATTGTCACACACAGCCCCCTCACTATGGTCTGCCACGCTAAATGTCCGCTGCCTCTCTATTGTCTGCCACACTAAATGTCACACAGCCCCCTCACTTGCCCGGTGCGCACCCACCCTAAATGGCACACAGATCTCTTTCCTATAGGCTAGTTAGATTAGAGCCACCTAGCCCCCCCCACTTTCTGTGAGGTTACTTCAACTAAGCAGCATAGTCACTTAACCTTCTACTCCTTCTGCTGCCATAGTGTGTTTTATAATTTAATCCAAATAATAGAGCAATGATAAATAGAGAAGGCAGGGATAGGGGGTGTGTGGGATTGGCATGCCCTCCTTTCTTATTTTAGGAGATGTTTGCCCTTTTAACCTTTGTGTTTCCATTTCAGTTAGTCACTTAACCTTCTACTCCTTCTGCTGCCATAGTGTGTTTTATAATTTAATCCAAATAATAGAGCAATGATAAATAGAGAAGGCAGGGATAGGGGGTGTGTGGGATTGGCATGCCCTCCTTTCTTATTTTAGGAGATGTTTGCCCTTTTAACCTTTGTGTTTCCATTTCAGTAAAATCTTAATAAAAAGGAACTGACCCCGTGAGCCAGGAAGGAGAGGGCAGGGATAACCTTTTCCTGTGCGATGCACTGGAGGATTCTGGGAGCGCCGTATAGACCCCCCATGCAGGAGGCAAGGGAAGAGATGTACAAGCCCAGCAGGAAGAGGAATCCCACCAGAGAGACCTGGGAAAAGAGGAATGTGTGGGGTTAACAGACAGCAGGAAATGTTCCAATTTAATGATATAACAAAGATTCCTAACTGGCCTCGTTTAGACTTCCAGGCGGACTGGGTGACAGCCACCACCACATTCAGCTCTGGCACCAAATGCCCAATAACATGCCATGTGAGGATTAATGGCATTAATCTGTTATTTTTCAAGTTGAGCTTGGAACATTATTTTATGGGATGCTCTAAAATCAGTATGTGCATGGTTTAATAATATTACATGAATACATGTACAAAGACTTTACCAAGACACCTCCGTCCCAGTAGCAATGCTTCAGCCCCCCACCTGAGTAAAATGCCACTCAGAACGCTAATTCCCAGGGTAGTAAAGTAGATCACAGATCCCAGGATAACAGGTTTAGTGTTATTGCCGCTTTAATTCTATCCTGGTTAATCCCACTGTGCTGTACGGAGATATCGAACGTCTGCAGATATTTAAGGAGGGACCTGTACAATAATCAGATATTAGAACTAGCATTCTGCTAGAAGTCGGTATCAATGGGTTAACACGTTCTGTGTAACAATATCCCAGAAACAGACATTTCTGCCATTTAATCCCAAATAAACAATTCCACTGGAAATAATGAAGTTACAGTTGTAGCGAATGTCTGACATTCATTGAGTAAGTGAAGAGCTGAGGATTAGGATAAACAGCTAATATTCTTCACTGAGCAGAGCCACGTGAAACGCATTATGTGTCAGAGCCATTAAAACGGCATGGGAACATTTCAAACTGAAATAATGCACAACTAACAACATCCTTTACAAAAGGTCTCTGTTTCGTTCAACCCATAAATTCACATATTGTAGCCTCCCTGGATGGCAAGCTACTACTAAAGAGGCGATGGAGACCTCATTCATATTATAAAGCACAGACACACTTTAGCAGATCTGTGCAATGGCAACAATACCAATTATTAATGAAATATTACTTTCCAGACAGATTTTCCAGTAGAAAACAACCATCTATGGGTGATGTAAGGGGAGGTATATCCCTCTACGGGTGACGTAACGGGAGGTATATCCCTCTACGGGTGACGTAACGGGAGGTATATCCCTCTATGGGTGACGTAACGGGAGGTATATCCTTCTACGGGTGATGTAAGGGGAGGTATATCCTTCTACGGGTGATGTAAGGGGAGGTATATCCCTCTACAGGTGAAGTAAGGGGAGGTATATACCTCTACGGGTGATGAAACCGGAGGTATATCCCTCTATGGATGATTTAACAGGAGGTATATCCTCAATGGGTGATGTAACGGGAGGTATATCCTCAATGGGTGATGTAACGGGAAGTATATCCCTCTATGGGTGATGTATGGGGAGGTATATCCTCTATGGATGATGTAACATTAGGTATATCCTCTGAGTTGTATAGTACGGTTACCCTTTTGAGTCACATGATGCTGTATTACCACAATATGCGCTAGTCATTAGCATTAGCTGGGTTAACAGACACGTTATCTATAATAACAGTAATCCCTTCCCACTGCATTCCCATCCTTCTCTCTACCTTTTCTGCGATCATGAACTCATAGCGCAGAAATTCTCGCATACAAATGGCACCCAGCAGGAAAACAAACACGATGTATAGGAACCACCTGTGAACAAGCAGAGAATGGGTGTGAGAGCACAGAACTACACATATAGCAGGAAACCACCATTAGTGGGGATGACACTAAAGACATCTTAAAGGTGACCTTTAACCCTTTAAAAGGACCACTATAGTGCCAGGAAAACATACTCGTTTTCCTGGCACTATAGTGCCCAGAGGGTGACCCCACCCTCAGGGACCCCCTCCCGCCCGGCTCTGGAAGGGGGAAAGGGGTAAAAATGTACCTTTTTCCAGCGCTGGGCGGGGAGTTCTCCTCCTCCTCTCCTCCCCGTTGGCTGAATGCGCATGTGCGGCAAGAGCTGCGTGCATTCAGCAGTCATACTAGAAAGCATTATCAATGCTTTCCTATATGGGCCTTTCTAACGTGCTCTCACTGTGATTTTTCACGAGGTAGGGAATCGCATAGCGCCTCTAGCGGCTGTCAATGAGACAGCCACTAGAGGAAATAGGGGAAGACTTAACCCATTCATAAACATAGCAGTTTCTCTGAAACTGCTATGTTTATAAAAAAATGGGTTAACCCTAGCTGGACCAGGCACCCAGACCACTTCATTAAGCTGAAGTGGTCTGGGTGCCTAGAGTGGTCCTTTAACTGGATATTAATCCAAATAGCACTCACTCAGTTAGGGTACCCTGTTAACTATAAAACTATATATCACACGTCCTGGACTTAATTTAACAAAAATCATCTCTTCTCTGCTATTAATACCACTGAATAGATCCATTCTATTTAAATGTGTATTAAAGATTTAGCAAATGAAATCATAATCCATATTGTAAATGAGGAGGTGATAGAGAAACACTGTGTCTTGTCTCCTCCTCTCTCTATACTGACTGCCAGGTGTAATGGGCGGGGCTTATAACAATGATTGACAGGGAGCTAAGATGGAGGCGGCTCTCTCTATACTGACTGTCAGGTGTAAAGGGCGGGGCTTATAACAATGATTGACAGGGAGCTAAGATGGAGGTGGCTCTCTCTATACTGACTGCCAGGTGTAAAGGGCGGAGCTTATAACAATGATTGACAGGGAGCTAAGATGGAGGCGGCTCTCTCTATACTGACTGCCAGGTGTAAAGGGCGGAGCTTATAACAATGATTGACAGGAAGCTAAGATGGAGGTGGCGCTCTCTATACTGACTGCCAGGTGTAAAGGGCGGAGCTTATAACAATGATTGACAGGGAGCTAAGATGGAGGCGGCTCTCTCTATACTGACTGCCAGGTGTAAAGGGCGGAGCTTATAACAATGATTGACAGGGAGCTAAGATGGAGGTGGCTCTCTCTATACTGACTGCCAGGTGTAATGGGCGGAGCTTATAACAATGATTGACAGGGAGCTAAGATGGAGGCGGCTCTCTCTATACTGACTGCCAGGTGTAAAGGGCGGAGCTTATAACAATGATTGACAGGGAGCTAAGATGGAGGTGGCTCTCTCTATACTGACTGCCAGGTGTAAAGGGCGGAGCTTATAACAATGATTGACAGGGAGCTAAGATGGAGGTGGCTCTCTCTATACTGACTGCCAGGTGTAAAGGGCGGAGCTTATAACAATGATTGACAGGGAGCTAAGATGGAGACGGCTCTCTATACTGACTGCCAGGTGTAATGGGCGGAGCTTATAGCAATGACTTGACAGGGAGCTAAGATGGAGGCGGCTCTCTCTATACTGACTGCCAGGTGTAAAGGGCGGAGCTTATAACAATGACTGACAGGGAGCTAAGATGGAAGTGGCTCTCTCTATACTGACTGCCAGGTGTAAAGGGCGGAGCTTATAACAATGATTGACAGGGAGCTAAGATGGAGGCGGCTCTCTCTATACTGACTGCCAGGTGTAAAGGGCGGAGCTTATAACAATGATTGGCAGGGAGCTAAGATGGAGGCGGCTCTCTCTATACTGACTGCCAGGTGTAAAGGGCGGAGCTTATAACAATGATTGACAGGGAGCTAAGATGGAGGTGACTTTCTCTATACTGACTGCCAGGTGTAAAGGGCGGAGCATATAACAATGATTGACAGGGAGCTAAGATGGAGGTGGCTCTCTTTATACTGACTACTTGCTAGGTGTAAGAAGGCGGGAAGGCTTATAGCAATGATTGACGAAAGGGGCACAAGATGGAGGCGGCTCTATACTGACTGCCGGGTGGCCAAAGGAGCTTATAACAATGATTGACAGGGAGCTAAGGTGGAGGCGGCTCTCTCTAAGCTGACTGCCAGGTGTAAAGGGCGGAGCTTATAACAATGATTGACAGGGAGCTAAGATGGAGGTGGCTCTCTCTATACTGACTGCCAGGTGTAAAGGGCGGAGCTTATAACAATGATTGACAGGGAGCTAAGATGGAGGCGGCTCTCTACTGACTGCCAGGTGTAAAGGGCGGAGCTTATAACAATGATTGACAGGGAGCTAAGATGGAGGTGGCTCTCTCTATACTGACTGCCAGGTGTAAAGGGCGGAGCTTATAACAATGATTGACATTGACAGGGAGCTAAGATGGAGGTGTCTCTCTATACTGACTGCCAGGTGTAAAGGGCGGGGCTTATAACAATGATTGACAGGGAGCTAAGATGGAGGTGGCTCTCTCTATACTGACTGCCAGGTGTTAAGGGCGGGGCTTATAACAATGACTGACAGGGAGCTAAGATGGAGGCTGCTCTCTCTATACTGACTGCCAGGTGTAAAGGGCGGAGCTTATAATAATGACTGACAGGGAGCTAAGATGGAGGTGGCTCTCTCTATACTGACTGCCAGGTGTAAAGGGCGGAGCTTATAACAATGATTGACAGGAGCTAAGATGGAGGCGGCTCTCTCTATACTGACTGCCAGGTGTAAAGGGCGGAGCTTATAACAATGATTGACAGGGAGCTAAGATGGAGGCGGCTCTCTCTATACTGACTGCCAGGTGTAAAGGGCTGAGCTTATAACAATGATTGACAGGGAGCTAAGATGGAGGCGGCTCTCTCTATACTGACTGCCAGGTGTAAAGGGCTGAGCTTATAACAATGATTGACAGGGAGCTAAGATGGAGGCGGCTCTCTCTATACTGACTGCCAGGTGTAAAGGGCGGAGCTTATAACAATGATTGACAGGGAGCTAAGATGGAGGCGCCCAGTTACAGCATAAAGAGATGCAGATTAATAAATTAGTTTTTGCACCTTACAAAGACATATTTCTTAAAGGTCAGAATAAGTTAACAGAATATAAGAAATCCTGAGAAGTGCTCGTTTTCTGTTAATGCTCTCTGTTCCCCATCACCCCGGTGAACGCTATGAGATTCGTGACCCAATGGGGTGAAACTTACGATATGGCGATGGCAGCCAGCGATCCCAGTGGTATACTAGTGGCAGGTTTCTTCAGATCTCCACTCATGTTAAAGCCGGCCATTACGCCTAAACATCAAAAGGACATGCATGTTGGTTAAGCAGATGTTGTAATGGCTGTACATGGTTATCAGCAATAGCAACATATACGGATCTGTTTATTGACTAATAGCTTCCCAGTATTATGGGGAGACCAGAACCTGACCCCCAGCTTTACCTAGAATGAGCATCAAGGTGTGAGTTAATATGAATTTTATGATAGACAGATTTCTTTTAACCCATTCAGTGCCGATTGGATCATGTACATACAATACGTACTAAAGTGCGGTGCTGTATAAGCCACACAAGTAAAGAATGACCAAAAGGGATGGTCTAGCACTCTCCAAACAGAACGTGTTGTCATTTTATTTAATATAAAGCAATAAGTACGCTAAGAGCGACGTTTCAGCTCGAAAAAGGATCCAGTGTGCCATTGTGTGCTCCCGGCTGTGCACTAAGTAAACCAACAGTAGGTTATATTTGGAGAGCGCAGTACCATTCTAGAATAAAGTAATGAAGAGACATACGACTTATGTAATTATTCTAGTTCCTTCTGGTTTCTCAGATAAAACAGTTTTATGCTGAAATGACAGAGGTTTATATTCTGTATTCCTCCAACAGCAGGCTAAATTGGCATTTTCCTTGCATAGATGGCATCAAACAGCCTCTCATTCCCAGCTTTCAGCCACTTGCTGGGCACTAATCCTTTTTACTAATCCAAAGATTTTGCACCATGGTAACGGGTGTAATCAGCTTTAATTTCAAGCCAGTGGTCATATGATGCAGATTATCACCCAGAGTATTGACAGGTCTCCAATCGATTCAGTCTCAAACATACTGTAACACGTCAAGTGGTCTTTAATGGGTCCTAAACAATGCATAAAAATTAGGACCACACAGCTACCGCCATAAGGGAGTCACTGATGGGTCCTGAGCCATAGTCACAGTCTTTTTCTGGCCCCCGTAAGTCAGGTTTACGGAGAGGGTCGCTGTCTGTGTCCTGACCCAGAGATCACATTTACGGACAGGATCATTGTCTGTCTGAGACAGTCCCCCTGCTGGCGCTGTGTATTAATACTGAGACGGTCACTCTGCTAGCGCTGTGTATTAATACTGAGACAGTCCCCCTGCTAGCGCTGTGTATTAATAATGAGACGGTCACTCTGCTAGCGCTGTGTATTAATACTGAGACAGTCCCCTACTAGCGCTGTGTATTAATACTGAGACGGTCACTCTGCTAGCACTGTATATTAATACTGAGACAGTCACTCTGCTGGCGCTGTGTATTAATACTGAGACAGTCCCTCTGCTAGCGCTGTGTATTAATAATGAGACGGTCACTCTGCTGGCGCTGTGTATTAATACTGAGACAGTCCCTCTGCTAGCGCTGTGTATTAATAATGAGACGGTCACTCTGCTGGCGCTGTGTATTAATAATGAGACGGTCACTCTGCTAGCGCTGTATATTAATACTGAGACAGTCCCCCTGCTAGCGCTGTATATTAATACTGAGACAGTCCCTCTGCTGGCGCTGTGTATTAATAATGAGACAGTCACTCTGCTGGCGCGGTGTATTAATAATGAGACAGTCACTCTGCTAGTGCGGTGTATTAATAATGAGACGGTCACTCTGCTAGCGCTGTGTATTAATACTGAGACAGTCCCCCTGCTGGCGCTGTGTATTAATACTGAGACAGTCACTCTGCTAGCGCTGTGTATTAATAATGAGACAGTCACTCTGCTAGTGCGGTGTATTAATAATGAGACGGTCATTCTGCTAGCGCTGTGTATTAATAATGAGACGGTCACTCTGCTAGTGCGGTGTATTAATAATGAGACGGTCATTCTGCTAGCGCTGTGTATTAATAATGAGACAGTCCCTCTGCTAGCGCTGTATATTAATACTGAGACAGTCCCCCTGCTAGCGCTGTATATTAATACTGAGACAGTCCCTCTGCTGGCGCTGTGTATTAATAATGAGACAGTCACTCTGCTGGCGCTGTGTATTAATAATGAGACAGTCACTCTGCTAGTGCGGTGTATTAATAATGAGACGGTCACTCTGCTAGCGCTGTGTATTAATAATGAGACGGTCACTCTGCTAGTGCGGTGTATTAATAATGAGACGGTCACGGGGGGGCGTGTCTAACTTCCGGCACGATCGGACGCTCGGATTAGGAGCTCCGCTTCACCCGGGCTACAAAAGCTATTATTAAGCCTGAAAACCAAGCCACAAACTAAAGGGGCAGTGTAGGAGTGACCCCATGTCACCCTCAAAGCAAACTAAACTTACGGATGCGGTCCGCCAAAACAAAAAAGAGCGGCAGAAACAGGCCCAAGATGGCGCCGGTAGCAGAGCGCAATCCCCAGAGCCTGATGCCCTTAATGAGGGGTCCCCACACCACTCTACAGAGGATTGCCAAATCTCAAAGGACTTCCTCAAATCAATGCTCATGGAGCTGAGAGCCACAATAAGAGAAGACTTTACGACTGCCATATCTGGTTTACACCAGGAACTAGAAGAATTGGGAGACCGCACAGATCAGGTTGAACGGAGGACAGAAGACCTGTGCTCAGCACACAATGAAATGGCAGACAAATTAAAGAAACTAGAAGACGATAATACTAAACTGTGGCACAAGATGGCGGACATGGAGGATCGTTCCCGACGGAATAATGTAAGATTTCAGGGGGTGGCGGAATCCACCACAGCAGACCAGATTCCAGCCTACATAAAAGTAATAAGTGCTGCGTTGGTCCCCGATCCCGCATTCTCCTGGGAAGTGGACAGGGCCCACCGCCTACCCAAGCCACCTAGGTTGGGGGCAGAAGTTCCGCGCGACATTATTGTGCGCTTTCATTATTACAAGGCCAAAGAGGCACTCTTAAAAGCAGCCAGAGCTAAGCCAACGCTACCCGAACCATATAGCTCGGTCTCAATCTATGCCGACCTCTCAGCTCTAACTATGGCCAGGCGAAGAGAGCTCTCAACCATAACCAAGACTCTGCGAAATCATGATCAGGCTTATAGATGGGGTTTCCCCACTAAACTGTTAATATGGCGGAACAACAAGCTTCACACTATAGTTGACCCATCAGAGGGTATGTCCGCGCTGAAAAGCTGGGGCCTATGGAACACACCGGAGATCGACCATCCGACGGCGACTGCAGGGACCTCAGCGAAGAAGACCCGTCCCGAATGGAAGATGGTGGGAGAACCCCTCACCAGCGATCCACATAGTGTCATCAAGCCAGGGAACCACATTCACAACAATGCCTTACACCGCTAAAGGAAGACAGACTAACTGAGGGTGCAGCAGTCGTTCAGGACATTACCTAGAAACTGTTCTCTGTGGGATCCACGCTCCAGCCATTCCCATGCCTTGAGGCAATGGAAGGAGTCGGAGACACCGACGACCGACAGTGGTATTTATATGGGGGCTCGCGTCAGTGCAACTAATTTCAGCAGTAAGATGTTCAAATATAAATAAAAAAATAAAAAAAAATTAAAAAAAAATATATATATAACATTAGTAATAATGCCACGACACTAGAGACCAACTTACTACTCTCCCTCATTCTACTGAGCCTTATCCGATTTAATGCCCATGCAAATCACATAGACCCGTGAAGACGCTGACGCGAGTCCCCACAATGTTAAGCGCTAACCTATGCAAAGCTAATTGCTATGTGTAATGCTTGGAGGGTAATATTTGGGGCTAAATGCATTGGCCTGCCTAAGGACTCCGCTGGTTGGAAAATGTGTTTAGCACACAATGTGATAATCCCAATAGGGGCGGATTGGTGTTGATGTTATGTATGGGAAGGTACCCCACATTGGGAGGGCAAAGTACCGGTTAACTACGATCCAGATATCTATACTACGCTAGCTGGGTCACCATTGTATAGCACTGACATCTAAAAACAGATCCAATTGCCAATAACGCACACACCACAGGCAGGGGAAGCGTCCTACACAGGCTGGGAGTGGGTTCGAGCGATCCCGATATGCTATAGCTAAGGATTATTAAAACTATTAAGAGATTAACGAAAATAACCGAATGGATAAGGAAGAAAAAAAAAAAAAAGCACACAGTCCCTGAAGCTGCGACCCATATATCTTAGACCCCTTTCGCAACAATGCCTTCCAGTCCTACAGCGGACGATAATGGAATTGTTGTCCTGGCTCCCAAATCCCCATGATGATTGCAGGCAACAGAGCAGACATGTGTCAAGTCTGCCCCGGGTGCGGTATAGTTCCGCACGACCCCCCTAAAGGACCTACAATGGTGGAGCACGATGGCTCCATATTGTACTCCAATGTAAACTCTCAAGGTCGAGAGTCATTGTATATACTTATGTTTTTAGTTTTCCGTTTCCCCTGTTTTATACCTGCCACCCCCCTACCCAATACTATGGCAGCAGAGATAAATTTTGCATACACAAAAATCCAACAACCATTACGGCACGCTCAGGTACCCAGTAGACTGTACTCGTTCAAGAGGTCAGTACTTATACGAACTCCGTATCACGATGAGAGAATGCAACATCCCACATATTATTAATGGCTTACCAATTTAAATGCTTTTCCATGAACGTAAATGGCCTAAATAGTCCTTTTAAAAGAAGCTCAGTGATCAGGGCAATGCACAAATCAAAGGCAGCTATAGTGTGTCTCCAAGAAACACATATGTGTAAGACCAATCCCCCCACTCTAACATCTTCTAAATACCATCAAGTGTATCATGCTCTTTCCCCAACCAAAACTAAAGGGGTGGCAATACTGTTCCACGCAGATTGGGTGTTCCAACTCACCAATACATACAGAGACGAGCTAGGCAGACTCCTCGTTGTGGTGGGCTAGATGAATGGCATGCAATTGACGATAGCATCCATATACGCACCCAATAACTCACAAACTGCATTCATAAAACGTGCGTTACACAAAATATCCAGCCTCCGGGAGGGTCACACCATAATTTGTGGGGATCTAAACTGCACGCTGGACCCCAATTTAGACATCAAACGTATAGAAGGCAAACAACCCCTCCAGCAAGCTAGTATTATGAGCCTCAATCTCAGCAAATTGCTCCACACGAACGACCTTTATGACACATGGCGCTCACTCTACCCAACCGAGAATAATCACACCTACTTTTCACAGGTACACCACACTTACTCGCGCATAGACATGTGCTGGGTAGACAAAAGCACAATCCCGAATGTTATAGAAGCACAAATAGGTGACAGAACTTGGTCTGACCATGCGCCAATAATCACCACGTTCAGGGCCTTATACCCAGCTAGAGGACGGAGTGCGTGGCGTCTGAACGAATCCCTCACAGATGACACTGACACGGCCACCAAAATACGCAGGAATATACATACGTTTTACGAAAATCATCAGACAGACCCTTCCAGTATAGGCACCAAATGGTTGGCCCTCAAAGCTGTACTCAGAGGTCTCTTAATACAAGCGGGGTCAATACGCAAAAAGAAAGCTTATAACGAAAATGATACACTAACTGCACTGCTCCAGACATTAGAAAGGGCTAATAAAGTAAGACCATCTAGATTACTGTCCCGACAGATTGAACAGACAAGAGGGAAGATACATGCACTGTCTCTAACCACTATGGAAAGGCAACTACGCAAACTGAAATTGACTTACTACATGCATGGAAATAAGGCAGGCAAGGTGCTAGCAAACCGTCTAAAATCGCGTTATATACAAACAAAACTCCCATACATGACTACGGCCACGGGTACAAAACTATTTAACCCGCAGGACATAGTGGACGAATTAGCAAACTTCTACAAAGACCTATATAACCTTACACAAGATAAATCACTACACCAACCAATAGCAGCTGACATAGATACCTTTCTGGGCGAGGCAAATTTGCCACGCCTGTCTATACATCAAAGACAGACACTGATAGCTCAGTTCACGGAAGATGAAGTGCGCCAAGCTATACTTAAATTACCCAAACACAAAGCCCCGGGTCCAGATGGATTTCCCAACCGCTTTTATCAAATATTCGAAGCGCAACTCACACCACACCTCACGGACCTCTTCAACTCCTTTGGGGACTCAGGTTCCATGCCGGAAGAGATGTTGCTAGCCCATATTGTTACACTCCCTAAGCCAGGCAAACCCCCTACGGAATGCGCCAATTTACGGCCTATTTCGTTGCTGAATGCTGACACAAAACTATATGCCAAACTACTAGCCACACGCATCCAACCCATGTTACAGGATCTGGTCTCCCCGGAACAGGCAGGCTTTGTTCCGAATAGGCAACCTGGGGACAACACGCGCCACTTTTTAAACTTAATTACTTGGGCCCAAAACACTAACCAGAAGGGCTTGCTATTAGCCCTAGACGCGGAAAAAGCGTTTGATCGCTTGAACTGGACATATATGCGGTCTGTATTGACGCACATGGGCTTCCCACCAGAGTTCCTGAATTGCATAATGGTCCTATACTCCAAACCGTCAGCCAAAATATTCAATTCCGGATTCTTGTCACAACCTTTTCATATAACGAATGGTACCCGACAGGGGTGCCCGCTCTCTCCTCTAATTTTTATCCTATGTATGGAACCCCTAATCAGACATATTAAATCTGACCAAAATATTGTGGGCCTCCCAACACCAATAGGGGAGCAAAAAATAGCCCTTTTCGCAGACGATGTTCTCCTTTTCATAACACACCCGGAGGCATCTCTATCAAACTTGCTATCACTCTTAGGAAGGTATGGAAAATTGTCTTACTACAAAAATAATGCCAAAAAAACACAAGCGTTGGCGCTAGGGCTGCCCCACACCTCAAAACACTGTACCCATTTGACTGGAAGAAATCCTCCATCTCGTACCTGGGCATAAAAATGCCAGCTTTACACACAATGACAATACGGGAAAACCACACACCGCTCTTACATAGACTAGATCAACAGCTCAAGTCCTGGGAGGACAAAGAAATCTCCTGGCTTGGCCGCATCCACACCGTAAAAATGATGATTTTACCACATATTCTATATCTCTTTCGCACCCTGCCCATTACTATCCCGAACTCGATACTGAGAAACTTTCAGGCCAAGATTAATGCACACATTTGGAAGCGTAAACCCCCAAGAATAGCACAAAACTCACTTTGGCGATCATTCACAAAAGGCGGGCTGGGCATTCCCAACATAAAACTATACCACAAAGCTTCAATATTGGCACAAGGCATCACGATCCTTGAGAGGAAGTCCCCTCCGGTTTGGCTGGCGTTGGAAAACGCATGCCTGTCCACCGGCACGATTCCAATGCTCCTCTGGGCAAGCACAACACCTTTACAACCCAAAAACCTGTTACCAACCACGGGGACATTGCTCCAGACTTGGAGGCAAACTACCCCTCGATTCCTCAAGGAGAATGACCTACTCCTTGAAGCACCACTTCAGGCCTTGGCTGCCCATACGTCAAACCTGCAGCTAGAAAACTGGCTTAGCCGGGGGATCTCTGGGGTACGTTCCTTGTTGACCCAAGAGGGTATCAAACCATTCCCTGACATGGTCAGGGATTTTCATATTCCATCCAGGGAACTATTCACCTATCTGAGACTAAAGAATATCATACAGGAAAGCAGGATTATCTTGAAAGAGTCTAATCTCATATCACCATTTGTACATAAATGTACGGGGAAGCTTCCCAAAGTGAAAGCACTATCCCTCTGCTACAATACACTTCTTACACAATACACGGCAACAAAACCCTCCTATATGACAAACTGGGAATTGGACCTGGGACTGCATTTCCCAGTAGACATGTGGCATCGGGCTCAGAAGCTAACAAAGCAGGCCTCACATAGCCTTAATCAGTGGGAAACGTACTGCAAACTAACCATGCGCTGGTACCTGGTCCCCAACAAATTGGCCCACATATATCCAGGAGCGAACAAAATATGTTGGAGATGTCACAATCAAGAGGGGTCCCTTTACCATATATTTTGGAAATGTACACAGATCACATCATTATGGCAAGACATCCACACACTTTTTTGCAAAAACCTAGGGATCGGGGTACCTCCGACACCAGAATGCTTTTTATTACACATCTTCCCAGACAACCTCCACGAAGATGAAAGCTACTTAATGATCCACTGCCTCATGGCAACTAAAACAGCGATTGCCCAAAAGTGGAAATCCACACAAGCTCCCACGCTATCAGAGATTTTAGGTAGACTAGATTCGATTTATAATTACGAGCGCATGGCAAGTCGCATCACTGAGAGGCAGAGTAGACATGAAACAAGGTGGCGCAGATGGGTGGATTATAGGTACGGTAAGATGTAATTGAGATTATGTACATGATATTTTCCAAGGGCTTCTATGTAAAGAGTGCTACCCAATGTAACATCTTTTCACCACGACACAGTACAAAATTTCACTGCCATAGCTCAACTTCGCCAATCCCCCCACCCTTCTTTTCCCCTCGCCCCAGAGGTCTTACAGTTAGGGCGTACGGAAACAATTCAGTGCCTTAGACCGTTTCAGGCAAACATGTATATGTAACTACTAATGTATGTAATTTATCCAGAAGCTGGTGACTTGTGGCCAATATCTTATTCTATGTACAGCTGTTAAAGATACTTTTGTAAGAATATGATACATTGTATTTGCATTGTCGCCCTCCCCCCCCCCCTTTTTCTCTCCGTGTATCCCCTCCTAAGTTAATCCCCTTTTATACTTTGCATGACCATTGAAAATTGAAAAATAAAATACATTAAAAAAAAAAAAAAAAAATAATGAGACGGTCACTCTGCTAGCGCTGTGTATTAATAATGAGACGGTCACTCTGCTAGTGCTGTGTATTAATAATGAGACGGTCACTCTGCTAGCGCTGTGTATTAATAATGAGACAGTCACTCTGCTAGCGCTGTGTATTAATACTGAGACGGTCACTCTGCTAGCGCGGTGTATTAATACTGAGACAGTCACTCTGCTAGTGCGGTGTATTAATACTGAGACAGTCACTCTGCTAGTGCGGTGTATTAATACTGAGACAGTCACTCTGCTAGTGCGGTGTATTAATAATGAGACGGTCACTCTGCTAGTGCGGTGTATTAATACTGAGACAGTCACTCTGCTAGTGCGGTGTATTAATAATGAGACGGTCACTCTGCTAGTGCGGTGTATTAATAATGAGACGGTCACTCTGCTAGTGCGGTGTATTAATACTGAGACAGTCCCCTGCTAGCGCTGTGTATTAATACTGAGACGGTCACTCTGCTAGCACTGTATATTAATAATGAGACGGTCACTCTGCTAGTGCGGTGTATTAATACTGAGACAGTCACTTTGCTGAATTATCCTACAACCCTCTGCCTGTCTTTGTATGACAGCATGGCTTCCTAAACATAGAAACCAGACCAGCATGAAACTCGACAGACAGCACTAAGAACAAAGAGGGAGGCAATTTAAACTATGAAGTGTGAATGTGTGTTAGAATTTCTCTGTATCTATACACATAGGCTGGTGTGTAGTTTTGTGTAATATTTTCTCGCCCAGGGTCCCCAGTCAGTGGCCCAGCCACTCACCATGGCTAAACAGGTCTTCACGGACTGGGATCCCAAGGATCGGGGATGAATTCCTTACCTGTGGCAGCTGGAAAGAAGACCCCAAATACAGTGAAGAAGCTTTCTCCGGGGGTGTAATCAGGGAATGTATTGTTAGACAGTAAATCCTCAGAATATCCAACAAAGCCATGCTCTGCGAGAGATAATACACTTATAAACGTCATTCAATGATTCAAACATTGCGCGTACCCCAATATCGCTAGCAGGTGCTGGTTGTAGTTATTATCTGCCGCAGTATAAAGGAGCCTGCAGGGTATGAGGGGAGGTACGCTGATTATGTTTACACTGGGACAGCAAGCAGCAACCTGACTAATTATGATGGACATTCAGCTCCAATATAAATAATTATGAAGATTTTTATTTATGGCAGATTAAGCAGAATGCAGCCAGACCTCGCCAGCGTGCGTCACCCACACTTTCCCCAAACACAGAATGCAATTTCTGTTTATTTAACATCACGCCAAACGTGGAATGATAAACCCCCTTCCCCAAGCTCTGCCAAGGGCCACTGTCTGCCTCGTACAATGGGCTGGCTGGCAGGATGACGAACAAACGAGATTCTGGATGTCAAACTCGCCAACAATAAGGGGAGGCAACGGTTCTTATCTGAATAACAACAAAAACATGGGCCACCCCCGCCCTCCCAGTCTATATGCGGACACAGAGCTGGGGGGAAGCTGATTAAAGGATGGGGGGTTAACCCATCCAGTGCCAAAGCTGTTGTAAGACACCAGGTGGTTCGGTTTGCATTTAGGGGAAGGCTGGATATGAGACTTTTTCTTTAGATCTGGCCGTAGAAACTTTGCAGAGAAACCCAGATTATGGGAAACATACAGAACACGGCTGCAATAAAATGCTTATATGAAGTTTGATGAAAAACATTTTATAATTCAATATTTACACAATCATTTTTGTTTAAAGCGTCACTTCCCAGGACTCAATATTATGTTTACCGATCTCTCTATTTAACAATTATACATTTGCAGGGTTTGGGAAATAAAATTAACTGTAGAAATCCACTGCATTTTATCCTGTAACTGGGCGTTTCCAGCTTAGCTCCCTGTCAATCATTGTTATAAACTCCGCCCATTACACCTGGCAGTCAGTATAGAGAGAGCCGCCTCCATCTTAGCTCCCTGTCAGTCATTGTTATAAGCTCCGCCCTTTACACCTGGCAGTCAATATAGAGAGAGCCGCCTCCATCTTAGCTCCCTGTCAATCATTGTTATAAGCTCCGCCCTTTACACCTGGCAGTCAGTATAGAGAGAGCCGCCTCCATCTTAGCTCCCTGTCAATCATTGTTATAAGCTCCGCCCTTTACACCTGGCAGTCAGTATAGAGAGAGCCGCCTCCATCTTAGCTCCCTGTCAATCATTGTTATAAGCTCCGCCCTTTACACCTGGCAGTCAGTATAGAGAGAGCCGCCTCCATCTTAGCTCCCTGTCAATCATTGTTATAAGCTCCGCCCTTTACACCTGGCAGTCAGTATAGAGAGAGCCGCCTCCATCTTAGCTCCCTGTCAATCATTGTTATAAGCTCCGCCCTTTACACCTGGCAGTCAGTATAGAGAGAGCCACCTCCATCTTAGCTCCCTGTCAATCATTGTTATAAGCTCCGCCCTTTACACCTGGCAGTCAGTATAGAGAGAGCCGCCTCCATCTTAGCTCCCTGTCAATCATTGTTATAAGCTCCGCCCTTTACACCTGGCAGTCAGTATAGAGAGAGCCACCTCCATCTTAGCTCCCTGTCAATCATTGTTATAAGCTCCGCCCTTTACACCTGGCAGTCAGTATAGAGAGAGCGGCCTCCATCTTAGCTCCCTGTCAATCATTGATATAAACTCTTTACACCTGGCAAGGGGGCAAGAAAAAATGAGGGCAACGCTTGTAAATGTGCATACCAAGTGCTACATACAAGTTTATTCAAGGACAGAAAATACCAAAGTTTTGGGTTCTTCCCATAACCATGCCTCAGGCTAGTAAGGTGAAGGGGCCAGTATATACCTCCTGGGCGCCCCCTTCCATACGGACTGGGCAGCAGAGGGCACACTCTACCACGGATTACAGTCAATGTTTGTGCACTATTGACGGAGGTGAAGATTCTGGCAGGAGTTTAGAACGCGAGTTTGCACCCAGTCTTTATTGACATTTTACAGCCCAGACAGGGTATTAAATAGTTGCTGCTGCTGAATACCCTCCCATATCCCACAGGCCTGGCCAGGGCCCAGTTGGCGGCAGAGCCGGGCACTGTGAACCAATGATGTCATGCTGTGTGCTGTAATTGGAAAGAGCTGTATAAATGGCGCCTTGGCTCGCACGCCCGCTAGTCCGGCTAACATACAGTAGTGACTGTGGGAGGGTTTTACAGTCTCATATCCAGCCGGGACAGGAAGGATCCCGGGGCTGGGGACTAGTGACAAGCACATCCTTCCTCAGCTTGCTAACAGGGCACACCCTACAGCGTAACCCCCGCAGTGCCAGACTGTTCACAATATTCAGTTAACCCTTGCGTTGTAAGATTGCTTCCAATAGTCACACTGTAAACATTCAATCAGTTAACACTCAACAGGAGAGAAAAAAGTTTTCGATCCTGTTTACATGAAAAATGCTGCAAGAAAATCTGATGTAACGTTGCTTCATATATTCACGTGCGGAGCCATGCACAGCACAGAGAGTGCGGAGCCAGGCAGAGCACAGTACAGAGGGTGCAGAGCCAAGCACAGAGAGAGAGAGAGAGCCGAGAGAAAGACACAAACACATGGTCCATGGAGAGAGAGAGCGCCGAGACACACACCCATACACAGGGTCCATGGAGAGAGAGCGCGCAGAGAGACACACACACACACAGTCCATGGAGAGAGAGAGCGCTGAGAGAGACATACACACACGGTCCATGGAGAGAGAGTCGAGAGAAAGACACAAAAACACATGGTCTACAGCGAGTGCAGAGCCAGGCAGAGCACACCACAGAGAGTGCGGAGCCAGGCAGAGCACATCAGAGAGTGCAGAGCCAGGCAGAGCACATCAGAGAGTGCAGAGCCAGGCAGAGCACATCAGAGAGTGCAGAGCCAGGCCGAGCACATCAGAGAGTGCAGAGCCAGGCAGAGCACAGTAAATTCGGAGCCATGCAGAGCACAGCAATGAGCTTGCGGGCCATGCAGAGCACAGACCATAGCAAAAAAGCAAAGCACAGAGAGTGCAAAGCAGAGTCATGCACAGGGGTTGCAGAGCGGAGCGCAGGAGATGCAGAGCACAGTGAGGGTATGCAGAGCCTAGTGCAGGGGCTGCAGCGCACAATTCCTGTATGCAGAGAGGAGCACAGGATGTGCAGAGCACTGAGAGAACATGCAGAGCAGAGCATAGCATAGGCGATGCAGAGCACAGTGAGGGCATGCAGAGCATAGCACAGAATGTGTAGAGCACAGTGAGGGCATGCAGAGCACAGTGAGGGCATGCAGAGCATAGCGCAGGATGTGCAGAGCACAGTGAGGGCATGCACAGCATAGCGCAGGATGTGCAGAGCACAGTGAGGGCATGCAGAGCATAGCGCAGGAGGTGCAGAGCACAGAGGGGGCATGCAGAGCATAGCGCATGATGTGCAGAGCACAGGGGGGCATGCAGAGCATAGCGCAGGATGTGCAGAGCACAGAGGGGGCATGCAGAGCATTGCGCAGGATTTGCAGAGCACAGTGAGGGCATGCAGAGCATAGCGCAGGATGTGCAGAGCATAGTGCAAGATGTGCAGAGCACAGTGAGGGCATGCAGAGCATAGCGCAGGAGGTGCAGAGAACAGTGAGGGCATGCAGAGCACAGCGCAGAATGTGCAGAGCACAGTGAGGGCATGCAGAGCATAGCACAGGAGGTGCAGAGCACAGCGAGGGCATGCAGAGCACAGCACAGGATGTACAGAGCATAGCGCAGAATGTTCAGAGCAGTGAGAGCATGCAGAGCACAGAGCAGGATGTGCAGAGCACAGTGAGAGCATGCAGAGCACAGCGCAGGATGTGCAGAGCACAGTGAGGGCATGCAGAGCACAGCGCAGGATGTGCAGAGCAAGGTTCAGGGTACACACAGAGGTTGCAGATCAGATTTGTAGAAAGTATAAATAAATTCTCCTAATTTCTAATGATTTGTTTTTAATGTCAACAGGATAGTGACACGTGGAGCACGCTCTTCCTGCTTTCACAAAGAATGCACAATCAACACTGAAATAAAGGAAGAAATTCAGTCGAGGATTCATTACAGGACAGCGCTGCCATCGTGTGGCTGTGTTTAAAAAACCCAGAGCCTAACGGGGACCAACAAACTGCTGGGAAAAGGGGTCTGTGTGTCAGAATTTATAGTCTGCTTATTAACCCCCTCCTGCCAGGGTCCCCAGTAACTGCACTCTGGGTGGATCTTGTCCAACAATTAGAAAAAAACACCAGCAACATGAGATTCCAGCTCTAATGCCGCAATCTTCCCTTCCATCCCCTGCACTGTATTTGGTCTGAAAGCTGCGTGACCACCTGGGCAGGCGGATAGACCAACCTTACCTGGATCCAGGTGCGTAAATGAGCCAATTACAAAATCCAAGGTGGACACTGCAAGCAGGAAAAGGAGCAGAAGCTGCAGGCGAATGATCCATTTGACTCCCGCCAGATTGATTCCCAGTAATCCCACAAGCACCGCCAGCGAGATCCCCCGCACTGCCCAGATATTATGCAGGTGGAGCAGGTCCGAGATGGATTCGGCAAAACCGGTGATGTACATAGCGCCTGCAACACACTGAGAGGACATCATCGTTAGCAGCAGAGAAAAACATGGAGGCCAGGGGAGACACAGGGGCCAAGGTGAGACATACAGAGCGCACAGCCTGGGAGAGACACACATAAATGGTCCATGAAGAGAGAGCAGAGACACACACGGTGCATGGAGAGGGAGCGAGAGAGAGCCACACACACACGGTCCATGGAAAGAGCCACACAAACACACGGTCCATGGAGAGAGAGCGCGTCGAGAGAGACACACACACACAAAATGGCCCATGGAGAGCGAGCGACACAAACACAGGGCCCATGGAAGGAAAGCGACACACACAGTCCATGGGGAGAGAGCCGAGAGAAAGACACACAAACACAAGGTCCAAGGAGAGAGAGAGTGCAGAGAGACACACACACACACACGGTCCATGGAGAGAGAGCCGAGAGACACACACACGGCCCATGGAGAGAGAGCCAAGAGAAAGACACACAAACACATGGTCCATGGAGAGAGAGAGCGCCGAGAGACACACACAGTCCATGGAGAGAGAGAGCGCCGAGAGAGAGACACACACGGTCCATGGAGAGAGAGAGAGCAGAGAGACACACACACACACGGTCCACGGAGAGAGAGAGCGCCGAGAGAGACACAAGCACATGGTCCATGGAGAGAGAGTCGAGAGAGACACAAAAACACATGGTCCATGGAGAGAGGGAGAGAGAGCCGAGACAGACACACACAGTCCATGGAGAGAGAGACAGACAGACAGACATAGATGGGCCACAGAGGATACAAGGAGATAGCCAGAGGGGCCAGGTAGTGAAGAGGTAAATTATTAAAAACATTTTATGAAATTATTCTACAAGTTAATAAATACAGAGAATGAATAGTGAGTAACCTGTGATTGTCTCACCTGATAGTATGTCCGACATTGATTTTAAGGAATTCTATCGGTTAATTCTATCGGTTACAGACCAACTTTACTCAAAGGCCTTTCAATAGCTTTACCCCCATAGATCCACAGATTGAGAGCCATCAGGAGCTATGAATTCCCCTCTGGAAGGGGAGTCCAGGAGAGCACACACAAGCTAAACCACAAGGCGTACACTCCAAGTTGGCAGTCACTGACACTGCCGAAACATCCTAAACATTTTCCAAAATAACCGTTTTGGCCAAAATTTAGCAAATTCTATTTTTCAAACGAGTGTGTGCAGCCCAAATATCTGTTCTGCATTGCTTTTTCAAAATACACCATCATTTAACCCTCTGAGAACTGCAGCTGGTCTCAATCTGCGTAGGGAAATCCTGAAAATGGAGACAGGATGTCACTTACCTGCCCAAATATATAGAGCAGACCAACCGTGCCCCCGACCTTGCCCCCCAGGACAGTGGAAATCATGGAGTAAACGCCACCATTACCGATGCTGCATCTCTCGCACACCCCAATGCCGGACAGCACGGTAACCAGTGCTACTAAAATAACGAAGGATACAAGGACCATTCCCAGGAGAACTCCAGTGTTACCCTAAAAGGGGGAAAATTCAAATGAAAGGCCCATTACTAATAATGCCATATGCTGTCAAAGGACACTCTGGGCTCTGAACCACTTGGTAGCCATGCAGAATGGTAGTCACCAGACAATGTCTGCCAGTGCTGTGAATATGGTCTGCAGACATAGAGATCCATCCATAGAGCTCGAGACCCTGAGAGAGTACAGCGAGCTCCCATGTTGGTATTTTAATTAATAGATATAAACACTTAATTTATCAAGCAGAATGCCAGCGTTTGAGACAAGACACATTAGATTAGGTCTTCTCACTGTAAATTAGAAAAGGCTAGTCTGAGCATTGTAACCACCTGGCGGGAGTACCAAATGCATAAACCTCTGCTGGGAAAACATCACATCCCATTCAATAAAATCAGAGGCTCCTGATCGGTGGAGTCTCTTCCTGGTTTCAGGAGAGTGGGGCTGCCTGCTGAGTCTGTCTGTGGGTGAGCAATCACAGGTGTGATAACCCTTTACCAGCACGGAACAATCCGTTTACTGGATGAATAGCAATTTAAGGAGGGATGAAATGCCTATGACAGCACAGACGTCTTTATCCTTAAGACAAGCATTTCAATTATTTTATAAATTTTACGGCATGTCATGCATTACAATTGGGCTCACTAGCATCCTGGAGTGGCCCTTAAAATAAAAATCATTTAAGCTACATAAATCGAATGATTTCCTAATTAGAAGTAAAGAGACCCCCACTCTGGTTAAACGCTGCAGGTGAAAGGCGCTGACAGTAAGGTATGTGGCTCTGATGGAATTTTTCTAACACATTCCTTACATGTAGTATTGTTTATTTCAATGTAATGCATGAAGATTCTTATTTTAGGAGTGTCCTTTTAAAATATTACTAAATAAATGATGGGTTGAAGCTGCATGCAAATAAACTGCTTCAGACTATTCTATGGGTCTGTAAAACTGTTATGAATCGCTGAAGGTAAGAAGAGATCCATAGCGACCGCACAGAACATCCAAATTAACCTTTAACGCCATTTTTAAAAAAAGAAATAAAACACAAGAGACAGACTATGTATCATTGTACAGCGCGGCAGCATACGCTAGCACTATGGAAACTAGAATGCTATAATACAGGACAGAAATGCAGTGTTACAGGGTGTTGTCTATAGCAGGGTGTTGCACACGGATTGTCCTCTATTATTTGATTTGAATTTCCAGGATTTTAGACACCCTCCAATCCTGGTACATAGGTGGTACAGGGAACTAAACTGTCAACATCTGGGCTGACGGATGGATTGATTGCTCTGCCTGGGAGTAGTGGGATTGGCTGTTGGAGCAGGGAGAGCTGGCATTGTTGTAGTGGGTGGCGGGTGATGACCAGGTATGATGTTTACAAGTGATGCCAACATTTATCTATTGCCCGGATTTTGTTTCAAAGAAAATTGTTACAACATTTCTGAAAACAGTTTAAAAACTGTAAAAAGTTTGTGTCCCACCCCATAGTGTTTTTGTAGTCTCCTGATTTTGTCATTAAAAAAAAAGAAAAGATAATAAGTAGTGTGTGGATAATATGTTGAAACAGAAAACTGCTAATATTTAAGGAACATTTGATGCAATGTGGCAGACTGGAAGAACACTGGCTGAGTCCGCATGGGATGAAATATTTCATTCATTCTATTCTTATAAAATTCAGACCATTCTTTCTATTTTTAGGGATACTGCAACGATTTATAAATATCTGCAAATACTGTGCTTCACACGTTACATAGGAAGATAAATCATTGATTCCGTAAATTAAAATTTATAATAGAGAGCAAGAAATATATTCTGTTTTTCTTTATTCTTAGTTGTTTTGTACATCTAGTACTTACCACGAGCCATCCTGTCCGTAGAAATAAAACCACGCCAAATATATTAATCATACACGATGTAAAGACGCCATCCCAGGTACCGAACAGGACGGGCTCCCAAACAAACAGCTGGATCTTCCACCACGGCTGGGCCTGCGACTGGGGGACAGGAGGACAGAATGACACCGGGCACAGGAAAAAGAGAGGGACCGGCCGGGCAGAGAGAGGGCGAGAGAGACAGACTGACCGGGCAGAGAGAGGGATAGAGAGACAGACTGACCAGGCAGCGAGAGGGCGAAAGAGACAGTCTGACCAGGCAGCTAGAGGGAGAGAGAGACAGTCTGACCAGGCAGTGAGAGGGAGAGAGAGACAGTCTGACCAGGCAGCGAGAGGGAGAGAGAGACAGTCTGACCAGGCAGCGAGAGGGGGAGACAGAGAGAGAGACACAGTCTGACCAGGCAGCGAGAGGGGGAGAGAGAGAGAGAGAGACAGTCTGACCAGGCAGCGGAAGGGGAGGAGCGGTCTGACCAGGCAGCGAGAAGGGAGCAGGTCTGACCAGGCAGCGAGAGGGGAGAGAGAGAGAGAGAGACGGTACCAGGCAGCGAGGCACAGCCAGAGAGAGAGAGAGAGAGAGACAGTCCTGACCAGGCAGCGAGAGGAGAGAGAGAGAGAGAGAGAGACACAGTCTGACCAGGCAGCGAGAGGGAGAGAAAGACATTCTGACCAGGCAGCGAGAGGGAGAGAGAGAGACAGTCTGACCAGGCAGCGAAAGGGAGAGAGAGACAGACTGACCAGACAGCCAGAGTTAGAGAGACCATCTGTGGTGGTCTGCCAACGTATCACTGCCACGGATACCCTTTTGCCCAATACAGGAACCCAAAATAATCCACAAGGTAAAATAGCACAAAGTTGTGAATGTAGATAGATTTTATATAGGAAACTGCACGTGAGCAACAAACCAGATAACCACTGTATGCAGTATGCAATGCGTGGTTTAGCTCTTTACCTGTGCATCCTCGTGAAATAAATCTTTCATGCTTTCAGTCCCCAACACGCTCCCATTGGTTGACATGAAGTTGTCCTTCCCCATCAGATCTCCCAGAGGGCGGCCAGCCAGAGAGTCACCCTTTATTGAGTCCATACATACACAGGTCCATGTGGAACAGCAAGCCTCCTCTGTGTCATATCTCTGAAACAAAGTAACAAGCAGTGAATGAGCCACGTGCCACGCAGTTATGGTGCAGCCAGTCCACGTACTTGGACTTAAAGGGATTCTCTATGAACACCTACCACTCCAAGCACCAAATTGACTATTGTGCATTGGTGTGGTTGTGGTTCCAGGAGGGCACTATGGTGGTTCCAGGAGGGCACTGTTGTGTTTGTGGTTCCAGGAGGGCACTGTTGTGTTTGTGGTACCAGGCGTGCACAGGTGCCATCCTAGTGTCACCTGGCGTACACGGCTATAAACCCCATTTCCAGTCTTCTCCTGCAGGAGAATCTGATTGGCTGTACAGAGCCATTATGGACTGAGCTGATTGGCCGGGGGTGTCAGCGGTGCACGAAAACCAATGAGCACAGTCTTGGATCGCCATGCTTTTACAGTGACATCCAGCTTTTCTTTCTTCAAGACTAGAACCGGTGTGTGGGCACCAAGGGGACCCATTACTAAAACTGACACTCCTGGCACCATAACAACTACACCATTATGTAATGTATCATGTAGTTCATTTTTTACTACAAACATGGATGTTGGGAAGACTAGTTTTGCCAACTAGTGTCCATAGACTACATCTGATGTGGCCTCCTGTTCTACATGGTGTGGTTCACTTCCTCCACGTTAATCACGTTTATAAAACATCACAAATCCTGTGTCGGAGTCGGTGACACACAATACAGGATTATCTCTAATCCCAGCATTTCTAAACTGTGCTCTAATAATGGTATCATTTTACAGCATTAATTTATTACTCCCAATTATCGGGGATTTATCTGTCCTGCAGGCACTGCCCGCTTATCAAATGGGATTTACGCAATATTTACCCTCCTCATTTTACCAGCCCTGGGAGCCTCAGCAGCTGCATCTAGTATACAAGTAATCCACCGACGTGGGACTTGCTGGGAACTCAAAGTGGTTTTCAAGTTTCAGAACAAAATAATCAAATTGGGAAAATTCTCCAAGTTGGCTATGCTTTAAGTTCATCTATTTTGTCTATAATTTTGTAATTCACTTTGAGTTCCTAACAATTCAGGCTTTGACGAAGAACCTTGTTTGAATTAAAGGAACCCTTCAAGTACCATAATCACCATGGCCCTCAGTAGTGGCTATGGTGACAGGTGTGCCCTGGTTGCATCTTGTTTTAGAACGTTCTGACAAATTACCTGGGTCCCTCGGTCATTCATACTACGTCTAGTCTACTCATGCGGAAGAGCTAAGCGCAGCCGATCGAGGACTGCTCTCGTTGAAGGACAGTGCTCTGCTGACACTCTCTGCCAATGAATGCAGTCTCACAGAGTCCTGTCACCAGTGGTGAGTGGTGGGACCCAGGTGATTTATCAATCCATATTAAATCAATTTGACAAATTACGCAGTGACGATACCAGGGCACTATTGACACCATAACCACAACAGCAAGCTGCTTTAATCAATAATCCAGCTATGAGGCTAAAGCGGAAAATGGCAAATGACAAGTGAGGATTTTAGGGAGATAAAAAGATTTACAAAATTTGATTTTTTGTAATAAAAGCCTAGATTTAATATTTTTGGATAAACTTTTAAAATGTTGAAAAGTATTTTAAAATATGTTTATATATGATATATATTTTGATATTTTGAGGGGAAAAAAAACAAAAAACAAAAAAAACTAATTTTAAAAGCTTATCCAAAAATCTTAAATTAAGATCCACATTGAGTATCTCGAATTCCGGGTGTGCAGACAGTAATGGCAGACAGTTCGGTTTATCTGCGTTATTCTCCGTACAATTTTACTAGTTACACATGTCGAAACTCGCAGGAAAAGTGTAGAATCCCAGCAGATGGGAGATCTCACCAGTCAGTCACACTTGCCGCAGTGCCTAAATTGAAAGCATACAGAATAGACGTGGCAAACTGATTTTATTTTACCTACTTACAATATCTTTACTCCTCCAAGTCCGCTCCCTACACTCCGTTTGAGTGCCTGGTCTATTCTTTATGTCTGTAAGTCGAGGTAGGTACCAGCATCTGTAAGTATGAAACATTAATATACGCCATTAGGGCACAAATACAATGAAAAGCTCTGTAAAGGGAGACATTATATTATATCTGACATGACACTGTCCCTTTAAATACACTAATAACATCATATGACATGGATTACGGAACTTTAAGGGAAAATAAGAAAGTTCACTAAAACTGGGATTATGAACAATCCCTTATAGAAACACTGTATGAGTGACCCCAATTAATCCACGGGGACCATGAGGTGACCTCCAATTAATCCATGGGGACTATGAGGTGACCCCCAATTAATCCATGGGGACCATGAGGTGATCCCCAATTAATCCACGGGCACCATGAGGTGACCCCAATCAAACCACAGGGACCATGAGGTGACCCCCAATTAATCCACGGGCACCATGAGGTGACCCCAATCAAACCACAGAGACCATGAGGTGACCCCCAATTAATCCATGGGGACCATGAGGTGACCCCCAATTAATCCACGGGGACCATGAGGTGACCCCAATCAAACCACAGGGACCATAAGGTGACCCCAATTAATCCACGGGGACCATGAGGTGACCCCCAATTAATCCACGGGCACCATGAGGTGACCCCCAATTAATCCACGGGCACCATGAGGTGACCCCCAATTAACCCACGGGCACCATGAGGTGACCCCAATCAAACCACAGGGACCATAAGGTGACCCCAATTAATCCACGGGGACCGTGAGGTGACCCCCAATTAATCCACGGGGACCATGAGGTGACCCCCAATTAATCCACGGGGACCATGAGGTGACCCCAATTAATCCATGGGCACCATGAGGTGACCCCAATTAATCCACGGGGACCATGAGGTGACCCCCAATTAATCCACGGGGACCATAAAGTAACCCCAATTAATCCATGGGGACCATAAGGTGACCCCAGTTAAATCACAGGCACCATAAGGTGACCCCAATTTATCCACGGGGACCATGAGGTGACAACAATTAAAACATGGATTACGGAACTTTAAAGGAAAATAAATTCACTAAAGCTGGGATTATGAACAATCCCTTATAGAAACACTGTATGAGTGACCCCAATTAATCCACGGGGACCATGAGGTGACCCCAATTAATTCATGGGGACCATGAGGTGACCCCAATTAAACCACAGGCACCATGAGGTGACAACAATTAATCCACGGGGATCCTGAGGTGACCCCAATTAAACCAGACACCATGAGGTGACCCCAATTAATCCATGGGGACCATGAGGTGACCCCCAATTAATCCAAGGGCACCATGAGGTGATCCCAATTAAACCACAGGAACCATAAGGTGACCCCAATTAAACCACAAGCACCATAAGGTGACCCCAATTTATCCATGGGGACCATGAGGTGACCCCAATTAATCCATGGGGACCCTGAGGTGACCCCAATTAAACCACAGGCACCATGAGGTGACAACAATTAAAACATATGCTATTCTGTAAGTGGTGCTGTAGATATGGACCCTGGATCCGTTCAGTACCTACCTCTAGTTAGAGCCAGTGTCAGAGACAGGTGCACAGTCTGCAAATGGCAAAATCCCAAGTCTTCCTTGTTTTAACGCCACGTCCATTCCTCGGAAGGAAACCTGTTTTTCACTTCTGTGAATGCTTCGTCATTAACCCTGTACAGAACAGAGGCTGCAAGTTAGTTGGAAATCCAAAAATATGTCTGTTAGGACTGGAAATCCCAGAAAAACTGGTCGGACGGCCTTAGTGTGTGACATATTGAGGGAAAAACAAATATTGAGTCTGGAGGACATGTAAATATCGTGAGGGAATACGCAAAGATTGGGAGCTTTCAGGATCTCCTGACACCTGGCCTGGAAATCACTGGATCTCCCCGTCATACTCGCCGAGTGCCTAAAATCCTGCGCTACTGCCACAGCTTCAGGCTCACACTCCTCAGCTGGAATACTTATTACTGACATTTATAAAGCGCCAACATATTCTGCAGCGCGGACTACAAGATATCATTTCTAAAATCCTGGAACTTTGACAAACACCAACATGCAGGATGAGAATAATATAATATTATTATTATTATTATTATATTAATATAATAATATAATAATAATAATATAATATAATTATAATATAATAATATAATAATAAAATAATATAATAATAATAATAATAATACCATAACAATATAATAATAATAATACTATAATAAAATAATAATAATACTATAATAATATAATAATAATAATATAATATAATAATACTATAATAATAAATATAATAATATAATATAATAATATAATAATAATAATACCATAACAATATAATAATAATAATACTATAATAATATAATAATAATAATATAATATAATAATACTATAATAATAAATATAATAATATAATATAATAATAATATGTGTATTCCAGACACAGCAGGGTGTGAGCTGGGGGAGCAATGCTATATAGAGAGCTAGCTCTGTGGCCAAGCTCCTGCTGGAGCTCACCTCGGGCAGCAGGTGACATTCCCGGCCGGGTCACGTGATTCAGTTGCCGCCCAGCCGGTGCTTCCTGTGCTCCCGGATCTGCCCTCACCCTGACTGCAACTCCCATCATCCCCATTGGGGAGTGTGCAGGGCGGCCTCCTCTGGCCCCGGGGCCACCATTGCCCTGAGTGCTGTCAGACTGCATTCCTGCCTGAGCCCACTCATTCCTCCCACTCAGAGTTAATTACAGGATAAACCAGACCCAAAAACCTGTAAATCTACCCCATTCCAGGCTCAGCCTTTTGGGGCTCATTCACTAAACTGCGAAATGGCGACATTCAGCCATCAGTCTTATCCGGCACGCTAATCGGAGCTTAGTGAACACGCTGTTTGTTTTCTTTTTATTTAATCGTTACATTTATAAAATATCTACTCAGTTACAGGGAAACGCTGTAATAAATCAATATCATACGCTGTAATAAATCAATATGGGACGCTGTAATAAATCAATATGATACGCTGTAATAAATAAATATGGGACGCTGTAATAAATCAATATCATACGCTGTAATAAATCAATATGGGACGCTGTAATAAATCAATATCATACGCTGTAATTAATCAATATGGGACGCAGTAATAAATCAATATCATACGCTGTAATAAATCAATATCATACGCTGTAATAAATCAATATGGGACGCTGTAATAAATCAATATCATACGCTGTAATAAATCAATATGGGACTCAGTAATAAATCAATATCATACGCTGTAATAAATCAATATGGGACGCTGTAATAAATCAATATCATACGCAGTAATAAATCAATATGGGACGCTGTAATAAATCAATATGGGACGCTGTAATAAATCAATATCATACGCAGTAATAAATCAATATGGGACGCTGTAATAAATCAATATCATACGCTGTAATAAATCAATATGGGACGCTGTAATAAATCAATATGATACGCTGTAATAAATCAATATGGGACGCTGTAATAAATCAATATGATACGCTGTAATAAATCAATATGGGACACAGTAATAAATCAATATGGGACGCAGTAATAAATCAATATGATACGCTGTAATTAATCAATATGGGACGCAGTAATAAATCAATATGGGACGCAGTAATAAATCAATATCATACGCTGTAATTAATCAATATGGGACGCAGTAATAAATCAATATCATACGCTGTAATAAATCAATATGGGACGCTGTAATAAATCAATATGATACGCTGTAATAAATCAATATCATACGCTGTAATTAATCAATATGGGACGCAGTAATAAATCAATATCATACGCTGTAATAAATCAATATCATACGCTGTAATAAATCAATATGGGACGCTGTAATAAATCAATATCATACGCTGTAATAAATCAATATGGGACTCAGTAATAAATCAATATCATACGCAGTAATAAATCAATATGGGACGCTGTAATAAATCAATATCATACGCAGTAATAAATCAATATGGGACGCTGTAATAAATCAATATGATACGCTGTAATAAATCAATATGGGACGCTGTAATAAATCAATATGATACGCTGTAATAAATCAATATGGGACACAGTAATAAATCAATATCATACGCAGTAATTAATCAATATGGGATACGCTGTAATAAATCAATATGGGACGCAGTAATAAATCAATATGGGACGCTGTAATAAATCAATATGGGACGCTGTAATAAATCAATATGGGACGCAGTGTAATAAATCAATATCATACGCTGTAATTAATCAATATGGGACGCAGTAATAAATCAATATCATACGCTGTAATAAATCAATATGGGACGCTGTAATAAATCAATATGGGACGCAGTAATAAATCAATATCATACGCTGTAATAAATCAATATGGGACGCTGTAATAAATCAATATGATACGCTGTAATAAATCAATATGGGACGCTGTAATAAATCAATATCATACGCTGTAATAAATCAATATGGGACTCAGTAATAAATCAATATCATACGCAGTAATAAATCAATATGGGACGCTGTAATAAATCAATATCATACGCAGTAATAAATCAATATGGGACGCTGTAATAAATCAATATGATACGCTGTAATAAATCAATATGGGACGCTGTAATAAATCAATATGATACGCTGTAATAAATCAATATGGGACGCAGTAATAAATCAATATCATACACTGTAATTAATCAATATGGGACGCAGTAATAAATCAATATCATTCGCTGTAATTAATCAATATGGGACGCGGTAATAAATCAATATCATACGCTGTAATAAATCAATATGGGACGCTGTAATAAATCAATATGATACGCTGTAATAAATCAATATGGGACGCTGTAATAAATCAATATCATACGCTGTAATTAATCAATATGGGACGCAGAAATAAATCAATATCATACGCTGTAATAAATCAATATGGGACGCTGTAATAAATCAATATGGGACGCAGTAATGAATCAATATCATACGCTGTAATTAATCAATATGGGACGCAGTAATAAATCAATATCATACGCTGTAATAAATCAATATGGGACGCTGTAATAAATCAATATGATACGCTGTAATAAATCAATATGGGACGCAGTAATAAATCAATATGGGACGCAGTAATAAATCAATATTGGATGCTGTAATAAATCAATATCATACGCTGTAATTAATCAATATGGGACGCTGTAATAAATCAATATGATACACAGTAATAAATCAATATGGGACGCTGTAATAAATCAATATGGGACGCAGTAATAAATCAATATTGGATGCTGTAATAAATCAATATCATACGCTGTAATTAATCAATATGGGACGCTGTAATAAATCAATATGGGACGCAGTAATAAATCAATATGGGACGCTGTAATAAATCAATATCATACGCTGTAATAAATCAATATGATACACAGTAATAAATCAATATTGGATGCTGTAATAAATCAATATCATACGCTGTAATTAATCAAGATGATACGCTGTAATAAATCAATATGGGACGCTGTAATAATCAATATCATACGCAGTAATAAATCAATATGATACGCTGTAATAAATCAATATGGGACGCAGTAATAAATCAATATGGGACGCTGTAATAAATCAATATCATACGCTGTAATAAATCAATATGGGACGCTGTAATAAATCAATATCATACGCTGTAATAAATCAATATGGGACGCTGTAATAAATCAATATCATACGCTGTAATAAATCAATATGATACGCTGTAATAAATCAATATGGGACGCAGTAATAAATCAATATGGGACGCTGTAATAAATCAATATCATACGCTGTAATAAATCAATATGGGACGCTGTAATAAATCAATATCATACGCTGTAATAAATCAATATGGGACGCTGTAATAAATCAATATCATACGCAGTAATAAATCAATATGATACGCTGTAATCAATCAATATGGGACGCTGTAATAAATCAATATGGGATGCAGTAATAAATCAATATCATACGCTGTAATTAATCAATATGGGACGCAGTAATAAATCAATATCATACGCTGTAATAAATCAATATGGGACGCTGTAATAAATCAATATGATACGCTGTAATAAATCAATATGGGACGCTGTAATAAATCAATATCATACGCTGTAATAAATCAATATGGGACTCAGTAATAAATCAATATCATACGCAGTAATAAATCAATATGGGACACTGTAATAAATCAATATCATACGCAGTAATAAATCAATATGGGACGCTGTAATAAATCAATATGATACGCTGTAATAAATCAATATGGGACGCAGTAATAAATCAATATTGTAGCGGAGTAGAGGTATTATCCAAGGTAACTCCACTGGTAGACAGGAACAGCAATCCAAGACAGGTATAAAACAGGTAGCGTAGTTAATTGTAGCGGAGTAGAAGTATTATCCAAGGTAGCTCCACTGGTAGACAGGAACAGCAATCCAAGACAGGTACAAAACAGGTAGCGTAGTTACAATCCCTTCCCTCCAAGAACTAGACGACACATAGCTTGGAGGTCAACTGCCAGGTTTATTCACACATTTGCTTTTATGACCTTTTCCCATGCAAGGGAGGTAACTTAACATATCCAATCACATCGTGGTTACCTCCTCTCCCTCTCCTCCCCTTAGATTAACAGTTAAGCTCATTAGTGGGAACAGAGTTTTCCCCCATTTCTGGATGTCCCCTAAATACAGGGGGTACGGTGACAAATGAGGGGTCCCCTGGTTGGTCTGGTCTGGGTGAGCAACATACTCA